TATAGAGAGAAGCTCTTTGGCTACCCAAGCACATAAGCAAGCGGTCCTCACCACCATAGGCTTTGCCTAAGACGTGAGTGAGCTCATTGACCTCCTTCTTGAGGGTCTCATTCTTAACCATTAGTGAGGCATCACAAGTGAAACTATCACTACTAGATGAGGTAGAAGTAGATGTGCTACAAGAAGGGTTAGTGGGAGCAACAATGATAGGCTTATAGAGTGATTCATTAATTATATCATAAGTTAAGCCTTTGTCACATGTTACAACATGCTCCTTCTCATTTTGCTCATTAAGTAAAGAGGAATGAGCTTTTTTAAGCTTCTTGTGAGATTTGCCAAGCTTCTTAGGCTTCCTCTAGCCTCTCATGAGATGCATTGAGATCATCAAAGGCTTGCTTAAGGGCTTTTAGTTCCTTTCGCAAGTCTTTGCACTTCCTTCTCTTAATGTTAAAATATTCTTTAGCATCTTCTAATATGTCAATTAGTTCATCTTTAGTGGGTTCATCGTCATTGTCACTTCCACTTTCACTTTCATTATCATGTTCCTCATCATATCCATCATCACAAGTTTATACCTTAGTGGCCTTAGCCATGAAGCATGATGGAGTGTCGAAGAGAGAAGGCTTCTCATTTATAGAAATGCTTGCAAGAGCCTTCTTCTTGGTGGTCTTGTCATCATCACTATCATCATCATCACTTGTGGAAGCATCACTATCCCAAGTGACCACATATGAACCACCCTTCTTCTTCTTCTTGAAGGTCATCTTGTCCTTCTTCTCTTTTTTTTCCTTCTTGTCCTTCTTGCTCTTCTTGTCATCATCATCATTGTCGCTATTATATGGGCATTGAGCAACAAGATGATCCTTGCTTCTACACTTGAAGCACCTTCTTGACTCTTCCTTATTCTTGGATGAAGACTTCTTTCTTCTAGCACGGTAGCCCTTCTTCACCATGAACTTACCAAATCTCTTCACAAAGAGAGCCATCTTCTCATCATCCATCTCATCAAAGCTCAAGTCTTCATCTTCACTTGATGATTCTTGCTTTGTCTTTCCCTTGGATGATGTGGCCTTGAATGCCACACTCTTCTTCTTGTCATCCTTCTTGCCATCTTTCTTCTCTCTCTTTTCTTCCTTCTCATCATCATCTCTATAAGCATCATCGATCATGATATCTCCCAAGATTTGGTTTGGTGTCATTGTGTCCAAACCGGTCCTCACTAGCAAGGTGGCCAACATGCCAAATCTTGCGGGTAAGCATCTCAAGAACTTATGAGAGAAGTCCTTGTCCTCCATCTTCTCACCAAGTGCTTTGAGATCATTGACAAGCACTTCCATTCGATGGAACATGTCTGGCACACTCTCATCTTCCTTCATCTTGAAGCTAGCAAATTTCTCCTTAAGAATGTATGCATTTGCACCCTTTATTGCCTTGGTGCCCTCGAATGATTCTTCCAACTTCTTCCAAGACTCATGAGCCATCTCAATATTCTTGATTTGCTCAAATGTTCTCTTATCAATTGCATCATGAATGGCACTTAGAGCAATGTCATTATTTTGGAGAAGCACTTCTTCGGCCGTGGTGGGATTCTCCGGATCGGCAATCTCAATTTTGGTTTCTACCACCTTCCACACCCTTCTATTGATTGACTTGATATGTGTGATCATCTTTGACTTTCAATATGGATAATTTATGCCATCAAATTGGGGTGGCTTCTTGATGTTGTTGATTTGAGCCATTTTGACACCGAAGGTTGTTAAGCCTCAAATTACGGTGACCACGGCTCCGATATCACTTGAAAGGTCCTAATGGCTAGAGGAGAGGTGAATAGCCTATTAAAAATTTCTACAACAACACTTAGCAAACCGGTTAGACAAATATGAGGCGAAGCGAGTGTTGCGCTAGCCAACTAAAAATGCAAGCCATATACCACAATTCTAGTTTCTATAGTCTCAATCCACATAATGGCTATGTCACTACACTAAGTTAGTGTTCTCTCAAAGGCTAACTAAAGAGCCACACTAACCAAATTAACAAACTCTCATGACTAGCTACACTAAAGAGCTTGACAACTAGTTTGCGGTAATGTAAAGAGAGAGAGCAAGATGGTTATACTGCCGAGTCGAGGAATGAACCAATCAATCACAAGAATGAATACCAATGGAGACCAATCACCTCGGAATCAAATGATGACACAATGATTTTTACCGAATTTCACTTGCTTGCGGGCAAGCTAGTCCTCGTTGTGGCGATTCACTCACTTGGAGGTTCATGCGCTAATTGGCATCACACATCAAACCCTCAATAGGGTGCCATACAACCAACACAAGATGAGGATCACACAAGCCACGAGCAATCCACTAGAGTACCTTTTGGCTCTCCACCGGAGAAAGGTCAAGAACCCTCACAATCACCACGATCGAGCCAAAGACAATCACCAAACTCCGCTCGACGATCCTCGCTGCTCCAAAGCTGTCTAGGTGGCAGCAACCACCAAGAGTAACAAGCGAACCCCACAGCGAAACACGAACACCAAGTGCCTTTAGATACAATCACTCAAGCAATACACTTGGATTCTCTCCCAATCTCACAAAGATGATGAATCAATGATGGAGATGAGTGGGAGGGCTTTGGCTAAGCTCACAAGGTTTCTATGTCAATGCAAATGGCTAAGAGAGTGAGCTTGAGCCGGCCATGTGGCTTAAATAGAGCCCCCCCTCAAAATAGAGTCGTTGGCTCTCTACCCTCAACTTTCACGGGGCGACCAAACGCACAGGTCACGCTGACCGGATGCAGGCCCCTAGCGTCCGGTCATGGATCTTCATCCATGTGTCCCCCAGATTCAACGTCAGCCGCCTAATCCCAATGATCGATTCTCAGCGCCCTTGTGGTTAAGTGATGATCGGACGCGCCCAACACGGGATCGGACACGCCGGTGCCAGCATTGCCCGCGCACGGCAACACACGACCGAACGCGCTGATCAATCGGGGTGCCCGTGCGTCAGGTCGTTTGCATAGAGTTCTCTGAGCGCCTAAACGCCGACCTGATGCGTCTGATCTCTACTGACCGGACTCGCCCAGAGTCAGGTCTTCTCCACACTCACTCAAACCTCATACGCCAGCGTATGTCAGTCTGACCGTATGCACCAACGTTGAGTCAGGTCACCTTTTACCCCAGCGTCCGGTCATGCACCAGACAGAGGCCGAGCACGCCAAACTTCATTTTATAATTGACCGAACGCAACACCTCCGAGTTCGGTAACTGTTTCTCAGTGAAAATCACCTCCTTCACTTCACCAACTTTTCCACCCTTGCTCAAATGTGCCAACCACCAAGTGTATCACCTTGTGCGCGTGTGTTAGAATATTTTCACAAACATTTTCAAGGGTGTTAGCACTCCACTAGATCCTAAATGCATATGCAATGAGTTAGAGCATCTAGTGATACTTTGATAACCGCATTTTGATACGAGTTTCATCTCTCATAATAGTATGGCTATCGATCCTAAATGTGATCACACTCGCTAACTGTCTCGATCACCAAACCAAAAAACTCCTATGGAATATCACCTTTTCCTTGAGCTTTTTGTTTTTCTCTTTCTTCTTTTCCAAGTCCAAGCACTTGATCATCACCATGGTCACACCATCATCATGATCTTCACCATTGCTCCACCACTTGGAATAGTGCCACCTATCTAATAATTACTTAGATAAACTAGGTTAGCACTTAGGGTTTCATCAATTCACCAAAACCAAACTAGAGCTTTCAGGGGGCACCGGGGGAGGGCATAGGGGCGCCGACCGGCCGTTGGATGCACCGCCTTAGCATCCAACGGTGCTAGTTGGCTCCCAATGGCGGTTGTGAAGCTAGCACGTGGTGAAACTTGGCAGGTACGTCGGTTGGTAAGTCGGTGGAGAGCTCCAAGTGTGTGACAATGGGCCCATCAATCCATCGTGAGTTAATCTTGGCCCTTGATCAAACCAACTTGAATGGAGGCTTCCCATTGGCTGAAGAGTGGCTCCCACAGATCACTGACGTGGCATGGCCACAGGTGGGCCGGGCGGCGCCTGCCTGTGGGCCAAAGTGGCCCTACCACATTCACTTGCTCCTATGGTCCATGTTTGTCACCATTTTGGCCAAATTTGCCATATTTCCTACATACAAATAATTCTCTAAGTACAAGTGGAACTGGGTGAAATTTAAACAAATTTCTTCACATGTGATGATGATTTTCCATACTTTTGGGTGGAATGTTGATGGCCAAAACGGGTGTTGGTGACCGTCAACAAGGCCCTGGGGATCGTGGCTGATGCGTGGGCTTGACGTGCCCATCTCCTTTGTGAGTGGCAAGCCGACACACGCCCATGTCATGTTTTGTCATGCCTCGAGTATGACCCCTTGCTGAAATAGGTGGGCAATGTCACACTAAGACAGGACAACAGTATCTGCCAAAGGTGATGACCCTGTGCCTCTGCTCATGTGTTAGACTCTTGCCACGCGACAGAGACCTGTTGGGAGGTTCGAGGCATCCCAGGGTGCTTGGATCCTTGTGGCTGGCCCACCGTTCAAGGGACCACTTGGTTAGGCTCTTGCGATAGCCCTAATGAGGGATCCCAAGCCTACTGTTGAGCCTCGTTTGGTTGGACAAGACTCCCATATGATGGGGATCCTAGTAGGCTCGGGCTCTTGCCCTATTCCCGAGCTAGCTTTGCTCGGTTGGAGCCCCCGAGTGATCGGAGTCATGAGCCTCAAGGCTTTGGTCGGTGTCTAGTGAGGATGCGCGAGCGCATCCGCTGGGTGTAGCCTTTGAGCCCTGGCTGATGAGTAAAATAAGTCAGGGGTTAATTATGTTGTGGAGATATTCATCATGTTGTTAGATATTCACCATGAGTCCCCGAGCCCCTCGTGGTCTCTCTGAGTAAAAGATTTAGGTAAACCTGGTGTTAGATATTAATCATAAGCCCCCGAGCCCCTCGCTATCTCTCTGAGTCGTCTTTGGGATGACCACGAGAGGATTATCCTTCCTTGGCTGTTCGTTTGGCCAGGCCGCGGCCCCTGGACTTAGGTTGATGTCCATCGGTATTGGTGGATTGGAAGCATGCCAACCCAACTCTAGGATGGGCGACGCCTTCGGTGACCGCAAACCGGCCAAGCTTGAGTGGGACCCAGATAATAATCTCTCGGGGGCATCTGGTTCAGGTCTTCGTGCGGTGCTCCACTTACCCAATTCGCCGTGGGCCAAGCGACTAGCTCATAGCCTGGTCGTTGCTCGGATTCCCACCCCGCGGAGGGGTTCGATGGTGGTTTCATCGGCTCAGGTTGTAGTAATAGTGGCATTATGGATTAGAAGAGAAATCGTAGAATGGATGGTCAAGATCTAGATGGCTACTTAAGATCGGACACCTGAAACAAAAGCGATGATATGGCTTGATGTGGTTGAAAAGAAATGGAGTAAACGATCCATAGTGAGTTGCATCTATATAGGTTAGATTGATTGTAGATTCTTTAAAAAAAGGAGAACATAATTTCTAAACTCTTTGCTGAGTATAGAGAATATAAAAAATAAAAACTCAATCCAAAAAATTGTAACGACAGCTGATCTAGCCGCGTTATTTGTGTGGGTTACCTTCCTGTTCAGTTGACACTTGAAACTTCTTATGCGTGAGGAAACAGTACTGCGCAGGCGTGCAGGGTATAGGGTACACTCACACTACATTTTTTTTAGGAAACCTGCTACATGGTGTCAGTTCGTCATTGCTAGTGACTTACGCACCCCCTCTACTTGCATTATTTTTGCTCTTGTTGGCTTGTCCAAATCCCAAAGTCTCCAATGATAGACAGAAACCTCACCCTATTTGCCGAGAAACTATTCGCACACCAAATCAATCTCCTTCTACATATAGTGAAAAGGAACACCTTGTGCACAAACCAATAGCCTCAATACCAGGCTTAACGGACGGAACGTCGTCATGGGCAACTCTTCATCTCGCGGTATGCACTCGGATGATTCTTCTGTATTTGCAGCGCTATTTTTAGCTGTTGCTGTGAACTTTCGTACCGTTTCTGTATCTCCTAATTGCTGTTTCAGGGCGATCAAAGCCGAGGCAGGGCCAGCAGACGACCCTGAAGTGGAGCGTCGATGGATTCTCCTCACTCCTTGACAAGGGTGAAGGATGGACCTACTCCAGAGTGTTTGAGATTATGGGCCACAACTGGTATGGTAATTAACAGTCTGATCTTTTTAACAGCTTGGTTGCATCACAAAGTTCCTGTAACTACAGCAGTGTTTGCAGATTCTCAGTGATCTATTCGCTTCTTTGCAGGTACCTGAAACTGAATCCAAGGGACAAGAAGAGCGGTGACGACAAGGAGTACGCCTCTCTTATGCTTCAGCTGGCGAGCAGCTCAGTGAAGCCCGATACTGTCGTGGAGGCCTCTTTCAAGTTGCTGATATATGACCAGTCGTACGGAAAGCACAGCGAGTATCAAGGTAAATTGTAGTGACAATTTTAGCATCAAGTTAATTAACAACATATTCATATCTCTAATAATATTTCGTTTCTGTTTTTGTTTTTTACACTAGATCGAATACCTTTTTCATACACGAGAATTTCATCTTTTCCCATGATTTGTGCCTGCAGTTAGGCACAGTTTTCAGACTGCAAGCACAAGCTCCGGAGCCTCATGCATGATTTCCCTTGAAAAACTGAAAGAACGGCCCTCTAAGTTTATTGTCAATAACAGCTGCACCTTTGGTGTCGAGTTCATCAAAGTCACCACTTCCAAAGTGAGCACAACATCAGAAACGCTGTTTGTTCAGAAGCCGAGCATCTTCAACGAGGCCAAGACTTACACCTGGGACATCGAGGACTTCTTTGCACTGAAGAACTCCGGCTACTCGCCGGAGTTTGAAGTCGGAGGATACAAATGGTTACATGCTCAGCACGCAATTTTAATGCTCGACACCTGAAACGCAATACTTTGTTTTATGCATCATGAACTGAACTGTTACATGCTGTCCAATTTGCAGGAGTATCGGTATCTATAAGTCTTGCGATGGGAACCACCTCACCTTGGGCCTGTGCATGGGAAAAACAAATGATCTCCCTAATGACTCTGCGAACCTGGTAGAATTCAGCTTATCGATCAAACACCAGGAAGGCGACAATCACCGGAAAGGAACAGGTTCGCCTACCTAGACAGTATTGCAAATGCCGAATTATCATAATATATATTCTTGACTTTGGTTGGTTGGGAAAAATACAGGTCGGAACCAATTTACAAACAAGGCTAGTTGCTGGGGATGGGAAAAGTTCATCTCGCTGGAGGATTTCAAGGACTCCTCAAATGGCTATCTCGTGAAGAACAAGTGCTGCATCGAAGCTGAGGTTGCAATCGTTGGTTCATCAAAGATGGAGTAGTGTATCCTTGTCTATATTTGTGGGCTGAATCGCAATGGTGCTGAGGTTTCGACGCACGTGTAATGTGTCTTGTGTTGTGTTTGTTTTGTTCGTGCTGAAGATAATATACTGAACGTGTAAAATGCCAAATAAAGGTTCGTGGCTCATGATATTATTGCTCAGCGCGCTTAGCTTAGAAGAAGTAAAATTTGTCTACTGAACGTTTTTATTTGTAAAAATCATGCCACTCAAAACGTTAAAGGTTCAATTAGGCTCATTTAATGATATTATTGCTCAGTTTTTTGCCAAACTAAACAAGGGCTCAGTTTGCCTGCCATGTATTCCTGGTGCGGTATCACCTACATCTACTGTAAATGGCACTGCATTAAGTGTTTCAACACAAAGAATGCCTTGCGCTTTTTCTCTTTTTTTAATAATAAAAACATGTAATAAATTTATTAAAAAACAATATTTTTTTGGTATAGCCATAAATATGGCCCAAAAGAACAACAAACCCACTAGGGCGTGTTTATTGTGTTTAAGACCACTACTTGAAACTAGGAACAATAATTCTTCAAAAAAAACTAGGAACAATACACCTTTTTTTTTTCTTTTTTTTAATACATCTCTATCTATCTCTTCTTCTTTTTCTGTGCATCATGCTTTTCACTCCACTTTAATTCCTGTGCTAAGACAAGTCATCTATTTTAGGACGGAGGAAGTAGATTAAATATTCTAGGGAGCAACCAAAGAGGTAGAGGAATAGCCAATGGCATATATAATAATTAAAGTATGAAGAACTTTATTAGCACGCACAAGATTTTTGACAATTGGGAGCTGTTATACTAGTTAGCCTTTACCTCACAAAAAAATGACAATGCTTTTTATAAAGAAACTTCGATGCCTAAGTGTTCACACTCAAAGTTATCGCAATGCTTGTGGTCAGTCAAATCGTCAGAGTTTGCATAGACGGAGAAGGAAAAGTTTGCCTGTTTGTGACTCAGACTGATAGTTGGCCATTCGGATTATTGATAAGTTAACCGATGCCGTCTTTTTCAAAATGTAGCGCTCAATGAATGAATGTAATGGCCGGCAACGGCATCTCCTGTATCTTTTCGCAAACTCTTTCTACGTGCAACGATACACACTTCTCTTGCGTATTCGAGGAAAAAAATAAGTTAACCGATGCTGTTGAGTTTTGATAATAAAGTAAAGATCGCTACGGCAAGCACGACGACAGAGAAGGCAGCATGCACCAGAATGTTCATCCATGCATCCAGACAAATATTTTGTGGACAGAACCATGGTTTGGACGTGAGTCCGAGGATGACACGCAATTTCTTCTTATCAAAGCAGGGAGGTTTGGCCGCCAACCACGGCGTCCACGTCGTCCAAAATTCTCTCAACCGTTGGATCTCGCGTTTTACGGCTCAGATGGCTTGAAGCGGATTTCGTCGTAAGCGGTTTCCCCTACTTCTACTCGCCTTTTCCGGCTTCTCCTCGGCTTCACCTCGGCTTCTCCGGCTCATCGTCGGAATCCGGCCAAACGAATATATTCCCACCTCCTGCTTTAGCTTCTACACGCTTCACCTTTCCCCATCCTCTCTCTCCCCTGACGGGCGACGGGCGACGCCAGGGCGACAGTGGCTCGCGCCGGCGCCGACCCGCGGCTGCGGCCGGCCTCGCCCTCCTCCTCCTCTACCCTCGCGTCGAATCGGGCTTGCCGGACCCATGCCGGCGGCGCACTGCACGAAGCGGTGTCGGGGCGCGACGGCGCGCCGCTGCGCGTGGGCCACCGGCCGCCGCCGCCACCGGCCACGGCGTTGCGCGAGCGGGCCCCGCCATTGGCCGCCGGCGCGGGTTCCCCCTCCCCCCGCGCGTGCGGCCTCCTACTGATGTTGCGCGCCTGCTCCTGTGCAACAGGAAACCCTAGGTGCCTCTCCGTCTCCTGATCTGTCGCTGCCTCTCCCTTCTCGTCTCGGATCGGGTGCCGTACCGGTGCGAGGAGCGCTCGATGCGGCCGGATCGAACGCCGCACCAGCGCGGGGAGCCGTAATGCAGCCATCGGCCGCCGCTACGGCCCCGCCACGGCCGCATCGGCTGCGCGAGCACCCTCCGCTGACGCGGACGCACCCAGCTCAGCGTCGTCACCGGCCCCATTGACGCGACCGAAGCTAGTCCAGCTGCATCCTCTGCTCTATTTCGTCCTGCCTGACCTTGCTTGGTCCTGCTACGGTAACCTAAAAAAACCCTATATCTCATTTGCCACCTTATGTCTCTGATCCCTTGATTCTGTTTTCTATATGTATGCGTGTAGTTTGCTTGCACATACGGTTTCTGTTCTCGAAAAAAAATGAAAATGTCTCCCCTCATAGCTTATGCATGTATTGCTAATCTGGAAGGCGCATTGTTTGCAGGTTTGGGACATTGATGCGGACAAACTATGTTATCCGCAACGTATTCAAAAGGCGGTCACTACATTCTCTGCAAAGCTTCGCCATGTGACTATGTGAGTTAGCTCCATAGGAGATAGGAACGCCTGTTAAATCGGTTTCTACTGAAAAAAGGTGACGCAAAATTGTAGCATCTTAATTTCAGTGCTACGGTCTCAGGCCTAGCGATGGCTCATGAGTTATCGGCAAATGATAATAGTAGATAGAAAATGCATACATACCTGTGAATACTGAAAGCATTATAATTGCTTAAAGTATTCATTTATATGAAATTATAATTGCTTACAGTAACCATTTATACTTCATACTAGCATTCTGAAGAAAAACCGTATTCACAGGCAGCACCTCTCCTCCAGTCCTCGTCCTCCTGAATCCCGGCGCCCTGCGGGTGCCAGTCGCGTGGTGCCGTGGTGGAGAGCTGCTCATCGGCAGGGGGGCCCTGTTTCTTATCCGGTTGCTGTACAGGTGGTGCTTATTTTCCTCTCATCAATTTTCTCACGTTCAGTGATGAATTCCATGTGTTTGTGTGTGCATGCATATGTTTGCTGTATATTCTGTGCGTATGCTTAGAATTGTCCTTTGTACAGCGGGTTCGTTGCTTCTTACCACGCTGTGCTTTCTTTTGTTACCTTATGTTTCCTAGCGAATCGCTAGTTTCTGTTTGTTTTACTCCGTGTGATCGTGCTGTTAGGTACATTCAAATATCTCCTGTCAGTTCGATCCGAGTTCCCGTGCCGTTTGCCCTGATTACCGTCCTGCTGCTCTGTTCAGCGATGTGTTTTGTTCCTCGGTCATGAGGTTATCCATTACGTACTTTGGGTTTACCTAGCGCTACTGCCTCTGTTCGTCTCGGGCATTTTTTTGTTTCAATCCTTTGCTTGAGAGGTCACGAATTGAATCTGGGCTATCAATTTTGGCGCAGGCTATAGGATTGGATGAGATCTTGGCGAAATCTTGCTCCATTCTTCCTTCAGTTGGAGGTTCTGTCCTGGGTGCATTGTTTAGTTCCAAGGTTGCATCTTGTTGGATCTTGGTTCCTGGCAATTCCTATGGTGTTTATATCAGTTCTATTAAACTTGCCTCCATACTTTGCAGCAATGGTGCGTTAAAATTGGCGTCATGGTGCCTCCTATGCTCCTTAAGTGAAGGTACAACACTGCGACCGCTCACTTTTCATCTCTTTTTTCCTCATAATCGCAGTATACCTATTTGCAAATACAAAAATATCAACATTAGCTGTACTAACATGAGCTAAGTCTGGTGGAAGTGCCAACTAAGTAGGCATGGGTCTGCTTTTGTCGTTTGACAGAATAAACATATATTGAATTTTAGATCGCATCCTTAGGAATCAGGGAAGACGCTTACTTTTGGATGACATGAGTGATCCTATTTCTTACCGAAGGCATGTTTGCCTCCATGTGTGCCATTTGTTGTTGGTTGTATATGCAACCCAACTTGGGCTTCAATTCATGCTTTGGCATTCCAGAAATTTTTTGACAATTCAAGACTTGACCTCGGTACTACTGTCTTCATCTTAAGCTATGTAGACATGGCTTTGCTATTTCTTTGCATAAACATAGGTATTGATTTACCCTCCTCGCATTTGAGACATGAGCCCATCATGCATGTAACTGTTTATTTCATAAACATATTGATTTCTTTCGCAAATGGTTCTTTTATCCACCAAGCTTCTATTTCTGTACCTGCGTTGTATGTCACTGTAGCCCCTTGAACTTTCTTCATTGTAATATATATACCATTCGTGGTGCCCTGAAATAACCATAAGGAACTGTGGAACAAAAGTTGATTATTAGATAAAGGTTGAAAAAGACATGAATTTCCATGTTCCCAGTTCTGTCATTGCTGGCCATTATCATGTATCACAATATTTGCGTTCAGCTGTGTTCCTTATCGCCATCCAGGCACATGATTTGCACACATGGATGGGTGTATGTGTTAGAATTATAAAAAATAGCAAAGATTTTTCCGATCAGAGCCTTGATGAGATCAGGCTTCTGAAGTATGCTAACAAGCATGATCATGCTGACGAGTACCACCTTTTGTGTCCGTATGATTACTTCTACTATTGGGTAAAATTGAGCCTTTACTCTTGATAGATCCCTTTTGAGTGTTATTTAATTTTGATCGGGTGTTGAATTTATCTACAGCTCCACTGCTTGCTCTGCACTGTTCTGGTTCTCCATCTACCATTAGCCACCTCTGGTCATTGTCGCTCTGGCATTGGCTTCGAGCACAACGGCCCCAGCTGCAGCGCCCAGACGTCCATCGCCTGAGCTATCCCTGTCCTCACTTTTTCCCCCTTTTTGTCTCTGGTGCGTGCTCTCCTTGCGAGCGCCGAGGCCAGGCGCGTGTGTGGATCTGGCTCGCCGGCCTTAATCGCTGGAGTAACCCCACACCGGCGCGTCTGGCCCGTTGTGCATGGCGGAGGTGCGCTCTCTCCCTTCTCCCCCTCCTCTTCCCTCAGCTCCCTCTCCTCACTGTATGTATATCTTCCTTCTGATATCATGATGTTATATTGGGGTGATTGTTTGTAGTTAGCTCATCAAGAATAGTCATTTTTTTTCATGAGCTTCCTGTATAGCTCATCTCTTATGGTGACCGAGCTTTTTAACGTTTGCTGTATTTTGTTGCTGCAGGGAGCTTTGGATGGTGGCCTGGATATTCCTCACAGTGAGAAGCGATTTGCTGGTTTCAAGAAGGATGACAAGCAGCTGGATGCTGATATCCACCGCAAGTACATCTATGGTGCCCATGTTACTGACTACATGAAGGTGAGTTGTGCATGCTGCTTATCACACCACATTTCCTTTTCCTTTGTTCCCTTGTAACTTTATTGCAGAAATTGTTGACCGTCCTACATCACGACATTAGTAGACTAGAGGCTGACTAATTTCTTCTGCTCTTTATGTCCCAGAACCTTGCTGAAGAGGAGCCAGAGAAGTACCAGCCTCACTTCAGTGAGTTCATTCAGAAGGGAATTGAGGCTGAGGACATGGAAGCTCTGTACAAGAAGGTCCATGCTGCGATTGGTGCTGATCCTTCCATGGTCAAGTCAACCAAGCAGCCACCAAAGGAGCACAACAGGTATAGTAGCTACCCTCCTTATTTTTTATATCTATACACTATATATGGTCACCATAATTCTATCGTTTGCTCTGCCTTACCTTCTGTGTGTTTTCAGGTACAACCCCAGGAAGCTGACATATGAGCAGAGGAAGGCCAGCCTCGTTGAAAGGCTCAACCAACTCAACTCCTCCACAATTAAACCAAAAAATCTACTCACATGTCTGCCTCTAAATTACATTAAAGAAAGGTTAATAACGAAGCTAGAAAGGAGTAACCTTGTCTATATCAAAGTAACATTGAAATGATTTCAGGTATGTTACGTCTGTCAGGTTTTTAGTAGCGTGGAAGTTCTTAATCACCAGTGTTAGCTTACAATGCTTTGTGTGCCCTTGAAGTTTTAGGGTACTGTTCTAGAATTTGCGTTGTAAGTTCATGATTATCACGCATAGAAAATGCCATGATTTCAAAAGTATGCATAGTATATGTGTCCTACACCATAGAAAAAAGGCTCCAGTCTTTCAGTTTTTGTGCATGACATATCTACATTAAACTCATAATATTGTTTCCATGCAGAGATTAGACATATTTTTTACCTGCGCCTTAACCAGATGATTTGCCAGCGTGTCTTAACAAGATACAGTGCCCCCTAGCTTATAAGGATTTATTCATGCTACAATGATTAGGACATGACGTCCTTTTCTCTATTATTATTCCCGCCATGTTGATATGATGATGATGTCAGCTCCTGCCTGATCCACGTGCGCTATCAACAGAACGGTGTCATCTCCTGGCAGATTTGTAACCTCTTACCTCTGTGTGTATTTTTAGTTGGTTTGTTTCTAAATGCTGATACAGCTTGTGGACTACAGCGAGGTGCTATTTTGATAAATCTTAAGGTTAAATAATCATATATGGTTATATGTTGATGTACTGTGCTTCTATGCCTTATACCATACTAAAGGATTAGATCAAATGAATGAGTATGGTTACTATGGTTGGTCCAAGGTACATGATAACAGCGTGCGTTTACCTATGTACTTCTCCACGTAGCTATACAATCCGTTTGATGGCCTGGAGAAAACTAAGTGAGGAGTAATTATCACAAGGTCCTTGATTTATAGGTTCGTAACTTGCTTCGTGCCTCATTTCTGATAAGGATTTTTCCCAGTGCATGCCGTGCAAATTTCTAGGTTCAAATAATCCAGTCTCATGTCATACTTAAATTTAGTCACTATATTGTTGGAAGATATCCTACGCCTGATGATACTATTTTTTACAATATAGTGACCATCTCCTAACTCGGATAGAAAGGGCAATGGAAAATCTAATCCACAGTCCTTGTCCTTTATTTTTTGACTTCTAATTGACAGTTCAATGCTTCATCGCATTAGTGCTTCTATTAATGTATTTTACTATTTCTTCATATAGATCAATTTTCCCAGTTGCCTTGTAGTTAATTTACCTTGTAATCATGGCTGCTCTCTATTTGGTGCCAGGTTGTTAGTTGTCAAACTTTTTTTACCATGTGCCCTGCAATGGATTCATGATCTAGGCAGGTTAAATATATATCCATTCATTTTACTCCGTCTTCATCTAATTTGACCCTTCAATATTTTACTGACCACCTTCTAACCATAGGTCGTGACTGGGTTAAGCAATGAAACTGTAAATTATTCTTAGAAATATGCAAAATTTGTTCAAACAAGACCTTAGGTCTACCTGCTGTAGCACTCACCATTTTGCCTCCATTTTCTATTTTTCAGATCTTCGTCCATAATAATTTAAGACAATTACAGCAGAGAAAATGGGTTTGATCCCCTCCAGCCACACACAGGTATGCAGATTTTTACAGCAATCATGTCAGATTACATGATTATTGTTCATGATGAAGATTAGACACGCCTATGAATTCTAACATAATCTGTATACCCTTCAATTTTATATGCCAGACCTATACGCGTGATTTGCCGGCGCGCGCGATGGCGCACGTGATGCACTAGTACTATACTACTTGGGGCCTAGTAGTCCGTTTATTAGTCCAGCGAGTTAATTTGGAAAGGAAAATATTATTTGGACCTTGATCGGACAACTTTGAGCCAGCAATAATTAATCGGCAAGCGGCTCCCGTTCACAAACCCGCTCGCCCCCTCACGTAAAATCGAATAGAATCGCGTCCGCTCCGCCCGCGCAATAGGAGAGAGCGCCCGCCGCGCCCACGTCACCACGCGTCTGCGCCATTGCTCCCAACCACCAGATGCAACAGAAGGTGGTAGGAGAGATGCAACACCCGATCTACTTTTGAAACATCAAAAAACAACGGTTGCAACATACGTTTGAAGGCAGTTGAAACACTTGAAACATGCTTATGAAACACTTGAAAAACACACCTGAAACACACTTGAAAACCATTGCAACCATACGCAACATCCGAATAAAATACATGCAACATATGTGTGAAACATATGAAACATCCAGATAAACACAATTGCAACATGCGCCCGGAAAACACAGATGAAACATACCTCTGAAAATATCTGAAACACTCGAAACATACTATTGCAACATGCCTCTGAAAACAATTGCAACATATGCAACATCCCCGATCTACTTTTGCAACATTCATATGATTCAATTGCAACATACCTCTGAAATGTCTGAAATAATTGAAACATACAATTGCAACATAGAGGGGGGAGAGAGAGCCTGGCGCGGGGAGCGCCATGGCTGCCGGATCTGCAGGCATTGGGGGCTCTCGGTAGGGGAGGATGCCGGTGTGGGGGGAGGGGCGCCGCCGGGGTGGGGGAGGAGGACGCCAGGGTGGGGAAAGAAGCCGCCAGGGGTCGGGGAACATAGGCGAGGGGGAGGCTGCACTGGTCGATTCCGGCTGCCAGGGATCGGCGGAAACGGCCAGCGGTGGCTGCTCAGGAGCCTGGCCATCGCCGATGGTGGCGATGAGGACCGCCACGACGGTCGACGGCCTGCGCGCTATCGCGGTGCGACCACCGCTTCCACATCAAGTGCTAGGGTGGGGAGAAGGCCACCGGGGTGGGGAGGAGGATGCCGGGGTGGGGGAAGGAGCTGGCGGGGTGGGGGAGGAGGACGCCGGGGGTGGGGGTAGGAGCCGCCGCCGGCCAGGAAGCAGCGATGGCTATGTCATTGGGTGTGGGCACGGGACACGAAAGGATAAGAATGAATGAGGGGCGCGAGCAGTGCAGGAGTGAGCGGTCGAGGAAGGATATGGCGGAGTGCGGGTGGTGACGTGCAGCATGGGTGGGTCAGGTCGGGCGGGTCGGGTTCGTCCGTTCATTCGGACGCCCGCTACTTATCATTATCGATAATTAATGGGCTTTGAGATGGAGATTAAATAACTGAATTCTGATTAGATGGAAGAAACGTACAGCTGATACAAAGAGGGGAAATCGTGTTGCTTTCTTCAGTTGTTCCTTGTATACACACGAAAGACCAGCTGCCCTATAAATATACAGCATGTTCGCTTGCTTGTATACGATCGTGGATTATAAGCTGGAACAGTATTTTTCTCTCACACCAAAACAGCCAGCAGTAAATAATCCATAATCGTTTACGACGAAACGAACAGGCTGATAAAGGGTGATTGCCGATTGAGGTATTTCAACTATCCAATCGTCAAAATCAATCTACTATGACCATTTTACCCTCTTTTTCAACCCTCATGCTATTTCATCCCTTGATCCGACGACCATGGATGGCGTCCTAGGCTTGCCGGCCAACCTAGGGCAACTTGACGACGTCCTTGTCCTGACAGGGTCCCTACCGGACGAGAGCTTCGACGGTTTCTTTGCTAGTTTGCCTGAAAACTAGCTGTTTTTTCGCCACGCAAGCACGTTGATTATCTTTTAGTAATTTGCTTGTAATCCTCTCTGTTCTTCACCACGAAAGAGTAACATCTTTGCTGCGTTCTTTGATCCGTGGCAGCCCGGACATGCTAACCCTTGCTGGTATGTGATCGGGATCAATCCTGCATCAACACTAAGTTACCCTAGTAATGAACGGTTTATATTATTGAGGTGGTAGCAGTTGCTTCTTAGTGCCTTGCAAACAGTGTAAAACCTTGCATTAGGAGGTACTACTTGTTTTGATGAAATATAATAAAGCTATCTAGGCTTGTCCTGAATTAATTTTTCTATAACTTTGATCATCGATATCTAAAAACTTACATAGACTAGTATATTGCCCATGCTAACGCTACGAGTCATATTAAGTCCAAAGTTAATGCTATCAAATTTGAAGTACTTCATTAAGATTCAATGAAAAACATATTTCTATGGCTCCAAAAAAATTGAAGCGATGCGAGTTCAAAAAGCATAGATGTACTTTTGTCGTAAAAGTTAGAATTCAAACTCGTTTTATAAAATTTTATATGAAAATGACAAAATCACTGAATTTATTATTCTTATATTTTAAAAATTTAGGGAATCCCAACTATTGAAACAAAAGACAAATTTTAAAGTGTATGTCTACACAGTAAAAAAATGAGCAAATCAAATTGTTCTGCAACCAACTCATATATCATTATGCAATTAGGAGCATTAAAACACACAGAGTAGCATGTGGCTGCAGCCTTCACCCTTAGGGCCTGTTCGGCTGGTATTAAAGTCGGCGGATAAGCCGACTGAAGCTGTTTTGTTGGGAGAGAAAAATACTGTACATGACTTGCTTGTCTTCTCTAACGGGTACAGGCTCCTGCTGGAAGAAGATGCAAGAAGGCATCGGAAAGCTACTATTCCTTCACGGAGGCAGTCGAAAAATCAAGGCACTACAGCTGAAGGGAAAAAAATCCAAGAGACAAAAAAAGAAGTAATCAACGCTTAATCATTCGCAAGGCACGGCAGTGGCAAGACGTGGGCTGCAAATCTCGATCCGCTCCTCGTCGCTGTCCTCGCCGTGGACACCCAGGGCGCCGGCGCTGCGCATCACCAGCGACTCCGCAGCGTCCGATGACGGCGCCCACCAACCCCCCTGCCTCCTACCCTCCCTGCCCAGAGCATCATCTTTTCTTACCTTACCTTATATATCCAGTCGTATCTTCTACCTCTGGATGCTGCGCTCATCCCGCCGCACCTGCGCTCGGGAGCACGCCCGGCCATGGGCCACCGGCGCGGCGCCATCCCCCACGTAGCTCCCTCCAGGCGCCGCGCGCCATCCCGCCGCCTGGAAGCGCCATGGCTCCACGCAACATAACCCAACGCAGTGGCCGCCGACACTGATGCAGGAGATCTACAGAGGGAGAGAGAAGGTGGATGGGGGTGGGGCCGTGGGGGAGGGTGGACGCGACGGATCTTTGGTCGGCGGCGCTAGGCGTTGTGGGGAGGCTGGCAGTGGGCGGCATTGGGCGTTGCGGGGCGGCCACCAGATCCGGCCACCGCCGACGAGCAGGAGAAGGACACCGGAGCTGGAGAGCTCACCGTCGCCAGGAAGCAGGAGGCGGAGGCGGTGGCGTCGGAAGTCCCTCACGCTCGCATGCGGTGTTTTTTCCCCTTTGCGCAATTGCTCAAGCCGTTGGGTTTTCTTGGGAAAAAAGAGACAATAGGGTTCGAACCGTGGCCGCCTGGTGCGAGCTGCATGCGAGCGTGAGGGAGGCGGGAGGGGTATGACCGTCAGATATGGTTGAGTAACCAGACAGAACGGACGAGAGTTAATCCGGTGTGCACGTTTTCATGGTGGTGTATTTTTGGGTGCACACAGTGGTGTAGATGTAGTTAAGGTCATGACTATGGAGTAAGTAATTGTTGGGTAGATTTAGAATCATTTTAACTGGTATTTTATAGGGGTAGAGATAGATATTTATAACACAGAATTGACATGTACTTTCCTGAAGTTACTAACGTTTTTCCATGTCTAGGTTTTATGACGAGAAAAAAAAATAAAACCTCACAAATACATATTTTCCTGTAAGCTAACTGTCAACAATTGTTGTAAGGAAATAGTTTTTGATGGCCAACCAACTAGCAAAATTTAGTCCCTGTCGAGCTAACCTTTAAACCTTGAACGTTTTTCTCTGTCGGTAAAAGAATATTTCCGACAGCGGTCTTTCCCTGTTGGTCACGAAACATGGGATTTAAGGCCATGTGATGCTACAGTAAATATGTGCTAATAATGAAGTAATTAAGCTTAATAGATTCGTATCGCGAATTAGCCATAACTTATGCAATTAGTTTTATAGTTAGCTCATGTTTAGTCCTTCTAATTGATACCTAAATATGTGATGTAACAGGAACTAAAGTTTAGTCATAGGATCGAACACCCCCTAAAACTTTTTAGAACTGACGAGATGTGTAGTTCTAGCTAGGATTCCCTGTCACCATGACAAACTGAATTTGGAATGGCATCTGCTTGTGTGGAAATTTGGAAGCAGAACAAATCATCTCGCTATCGTCAGGCTTCATTTTTCAAAGATTCCAATTATTAACAAGCCACCCTTCGTTTTCCAGTGAAATTTCAATATGTAAAATTACACCCGTGCAACTGATGATGGCATCAACGCAGCGGTGACTGTCAGATGACTAGATGACACATTCGCACGCAAGATAGATAATCATAGATAGATTGTTTGCTGCTTAGTGGTTATATATTGCGGCTTAACAACTTTGGAAATTGGGAGCCACAGAAGAGTTGACCTGGACTTTTAGGGCTATTTGCTAAAATGGCATAAAAGATTTAATATGTGCAAGTATGTTCAGTTACAGAGAGATTTTTTTTTCTGGGTCATGAAGCTGAATAAAATTTAGACGCCATAGACTGGTAATGCGTCCATTGCTAGGAAATTTCTTGTGGCGTAGACCTCTGGGTTCTGTCCTTTTGTGTTGGTCCTAGCGGCCAAAAAGAAGAAACCTCACCTCAATTACCCGGAATTTCTCAAAGACTTTCAGAGAGTTGTACTTATAACGTGCAATCATAGGTGCCTGAAGCAAGAGCAGGAAAACTCTTCCAACAAGCAATCATGGGTGCCTGCGCCTCTTCATCTCGTGGTAACACATCGATTTCGCTTTCTTTTCTGCTTCTTCTAGCGATTTCACCTGTTATTACACTTGGTATGATCACCTACTGTACATATATGGATTGTGGTTTCCTTTCAGGTCGATCAAACCATGGCAAGAACCAGAAATCCGCGAAGGTTGCGGCAATTCCATCTACTCCGGCGGTGCAGGCAGGCCGTGCTGCTGCCTCTTCTGAAATGGAAGAAAAGAGCAGCTTCACATGGAGGATCGATGGATTCTCCTCGCTTCTTGACAAGCAAAAAGGATGGACCAACTCCGGATATTTTGAGATGAAGGAGCTTAAATGGTAATCTTCCATACTGTGCCTATATATATTTGCCTTAGTTTTACCGAGCTATCTATCGCAAAGCTATATTTTCCATCTTCAGTAGAACATTTTCAAATCAGCTCAGTTTTAGAATTGCTGAATGCAACGCAATGCATGTTTGCAAACATCTGATGAGCAGTCCTTCATCTCTTTGATTTGACCTGTTTGCAGGTACTTGCAGTTGAACCTGAAGGACCGGAAGAGTAGAGACGAAAGAGACTACGTTTCTCTTGTCCTCGTGCTGTCAAAAAACTTCTGATCTGAAACCCGACACCATCGTCGAAGCATCGTTGAAGCTCTTGATATACGATCAAGCATACGGACGACATAGCGAACACGAATGTAAGATTGAAATCACATTCTAACATGGTAGGCTAGCTGGTACTACATGGAACTATACTAAGCTGATAGCTGCACTGTTTTGCTTTAGTTAGCCACCAATTCCAGACTACACAAAGCAGCAGAAGCTCCGGGATCTCATGCATGATCCTCATCGAGACACTCATGGAACCCTCCTCCGGTTTCATCGTTGGCGACAGCTGCGTCTTCGGCGTGGAGCTCATCAAGCTCACCACTGCTAAGGCCAAGCATAGTTCAGGAACACTGCATGTTCAGAAGATAAATGGCTTCAGCGCCCGGGAAGCCTACACCTGGGTCATCGATGACTTCTTAACCCTGAAGGGCCGGTGCTACTCACCCGAGTTTGAGATCGGTGGACGCAGATGGTACCAATATACCACATACATGCATACTACTAGCTAATAACAAATATAAGAAATATAAATACTCAATTTAATGATAAAGCCTAAGATGCAAGTATTAAGTTGTTATCCTTTCATCCATGATGCACTAACTCCTTTGATCCTTCAGGTACCTGACCATGTACCCTTCCGGCATCGACGGTAATGAGGAATTCCTCTCCCTCTACCTGCATATGGCCAAGCCAGACGGAGACGCTTCCCTACAGAACTCAGGGGTGCTGGTAGAAGTCAGTCTATCCATCAAAGACAAGGTGACCAGCAATCGCAACACAAAGACAGGTTTGTCACTCGGTACCTGCTCCTACTGTAACATGATCCAGATGTACAGACCGATACGATTATTTATGCTGTAGTATGAATTTGGGATATGTATTGTGTGCGTCCAGGCCGGTGCCAGTTCCAAGCGACAGAGGACTGCGATGGCTGGGGATGGGCAAAGTTCATGGCGACGAAGTCTGTCGAGGACTGGTACCTTGTCAAGGGCAGCTGCTTAATCGAGGCAGATGTTGCCATCGTTGGATCATCCAAGATGGAATAGGGATCATACGTCTACTTGTGTGCGTGTGTCGAGCCAACATTCGAATTGTGCAGCGTGAGTTTTGTTTGGTTTGTTCTGTCTTTGTGAACTCCGAATCTGAATGTGGCTGTACACTACAAAATGAAAGACAATTATTTGCCGTGACAGTATGCTGTGAGGTCGCTCTCCTGCGTCCATACGTTTGAATTTGGCCTACGACGACTTATATTGTGTATTCACGTGAGATTGTGGTGGTTTCATCTCCACTTTACATGGTGATGGTGGGTTGGACTAATCATAAGACTTTCAGATCGTAATGTACCGCTAACCTTAGGTTTTACATGAATCGCGGACAAAAACGTAAGTGGATTGACGATAGTGTGTGATTCACTCGATGTGTAAAGTCGATCTTAGCCGTTTGGACACTAGGTCATTATAAATATAGATGACCATAAGGATGAAAACGGTCGAACTCGGTCGAAAAACTCCTCAACCGTTTTCTACTTTTACATTTGAAATACGAAAGCGAAAGTGAAAGCGGACAAGCCGGACACGAAAACGAACACGAACTTACGGAATATCTAGAATTTCGGAAACGAACCAATTCGAGCGGAATTATGTCGAACACGGTCGGTATGCGAAGATTCAATACGAAATACCGACCCACAGTGCATAGCATTAAACAAGTGCACGGCCAAATACATAACAAGTTCACAACTAACAAGTGCATGATCTAGTTCAAGTGCATAGCATTAAACAAGTGCACGATCAAATACATAATAAGGGAGATGAGGCTGGGCGCCGTCTATAAGAGAGGACAGCTAGCCACCAGTAGAAAGAACGCAGCTGCGTGGTGAGCAGCCTGTAATTGGGCTGTATGACCTGTGCAGTTGGCCAAATTCGGTTTAAACTGAATTTTGAATTCGAAATATTTTAAATTAAAAGTAGAAAAGTAGAAAATGGTTAAAAAAAAGTGTAAACTGTTTTCTACTTTTACATTTGAAATACGAAACATCTCAAATGCGAAAGCGAAAACGGTAAAGTCGGACAAGAAAATACGGATTCGATCGGATTAAATATAGAAAATGATGCGGTTCGGTTCGGGATATTTCCGTTCCGTTTTCATCCTTAGATTGCCAAACGGGCGGCCTGACCCTAGCCCGTTATGGCACGACACTAATCAGCATGGTGCCTAGTCGTGTCATGTCGTGTCAGGCCGCCGTGCCTAACTCTCGGTCCAGGCACGGCCCTACGAGCACTTAGTTGTGTTGTATCGTGTTGTGCTGATGGGCATGGTGGCCCACTAGGCCCGTGCAAACCCAAGTCCATGTCGTGCTATCGCTGTAGTCACGTCGCCACTCCACCTTGAGTCCCAAATATCCAATTTTCTCGCCGCCGGGCGTGCTGCTATGCTCTGCACCGCATGGCCACGCCGCTACCTTGCCGCCGAGAGAGGTCAGGAAGAAGAGTACAGAGAGGGTGTCACGCCGCTGCCTCATCGCCAAAGAGGGGCCAGGGAAGAAGGGTGGAGGGGGTAGCTAAGTGTCGGTGTTTCGAGTAAACACCAACTAGTAAATTTCTAATATCATGCGTCTGGCTCGGATGGTGTGCTAAGAAGACACGAGGTTTATACTGGTTTAGGCAGAATATCTCTACGTCCAATTCATCGCTGCTGCTCGTGTTACTAGCACTAAAAATTTATAGTAGGGGTTACAACCGGGCGAGAGAGGGACATGTCCTAAGTCTCTGGTGAAAGAAGTTGTTTACACCAAAATTTGGAAAGAAGAACGCGGAAACTCGAAGCTTCCAAGATTTTATCATCAAGGAATCGATTGCATAAGGATCGATATCAGCTGATTCAGATGCGGCACCAACCATAGCTCATTGTCGTTATCTGCTGACGTCGGGAAAGATATGTCGGATTCTACAAAAAGGGAAAGATTATGGTCCAAGTTATCTTAGGTTATGAATATTTTCTCTTATACCAAATATTGTAATGAGTCGTACCTGAATAGGATTCGTGCTTAGGTTCCGGGTATAAATATTGGACCCCGGCTATTGTAAAAAGCATTCAATCAATCAATACCAATTACTTTTTTTGGCTTTATGCCAACCCTTAGGAGTAGGACTAGTGTAGATCTCGACAAGTTCTTCAACAAGCAGGGCAGCATCGGTTCGGCCGACCTCCGGCTTGTCTATAAGTACTGTCATGGCTATACTTCTGTTTGTAAGGCTGCATCGGTCCGACCGACCTCTTGCGAGCTCTAGTATAAGCTAGTTATCGATCATTATATAGTTCAAATACGGCTTTATCGGTTAAGTTCGACCTCCACTGCTCGAATTAGATTAAGGTCAAGTTATCGGCTCTACCTAAGGGTGACATTCTTCGGGTAGATTCATTAAGTTACCGATCTTGTTGATGTTCTTATTGTCATTAGTTTTCAGCAATATCAACCTGCCTGATAGAGATCGATCTAGATCGGCCTCACATCCTTTTAGTCCATCGTTTATTTCGTTACATTACGACGACTCTTACTTTAAATGACGGATTATGTTTTATCGGCTGTTATACTTCGATCTTGATCCTACATAGTACATGGTCAAGGTGTGCCTGATCTTGAGAAGGTTTACTGGCTAGTTGAATTTGGTCTATAGCTCGCTATTATGGATATGTCGATCCGGTCGATCCCCACTGTTAGTACTTTAGATTGGAGGATGCTAGCCGGTAGATTCGCTTTCGACCAGGCATGACCTTGACTGTTTGCTATGCCTGCATCAGCTAAATAGCCAATCGCCCATACTTTAACGCTCATAGTATGTTTTCATGATCCTGTTAAATGTGAATAGATCTGTTTTCTTTAAAGGTTTAATCTATTATCTTTATTATGGCTACCATCGATCCGGTCGAACCCCACTGTTAAAGATAATATGTTATATTTGAGGAGTTTATAGGTCTGCTCGTATTGAATAGTCGATTGTTCACATGCTATAATCCTTTTTCTACCTGAATCGGCTATTTTAGCTGATTCGCCTGTGCGTTCACACATATAGCATGTCTTTCATTAACCTATCAACGTATAGATGGTTTTATGGATTCTTTGGATTTAGTTTGTTGTTATCATCATAGCTGCATCGATCCAGTCGAACCTCATGTTGATGGTAGTAGATTAGATTCAGAGCGTTTGTGGATCCATTTGTACTAGACAGTCGATTTGTTTGCAAGTTATATCCTTTCTCGTTAAACTTATTGGCTCAATGCTTTACACTGGTCATATATATCTAGCTGATGACATTACTTATATCTAGATGCATTACTGTATAATCAATCACGACCAACGAGCTTTATAGTCCTTAACAACTGATTTCTTCTCGTATCGGCTATTTAGTCGATTTTCCCGTCTGACTGCTCCCGAAGCGGCACATTTGGAACTATCTAGGCAAACCAGCATATTCCACCTTAAATTACTGATAAACTTTCTCTCCTTGTCAGTTGTAGGTCAAATTGACTGGCACGCCTTCGGGAATTCATAGGGTCGATAAGTCCTGCGTTGAAGCCAAGCGGATCTCCGGGCTCATCCTAAGCAGATCCTTTCGGCTTGCTGTGTGCCTGGCGCATTGACACATTTTTGCACCGACAGAAGTGAACGGGTGCCGAGGGCTCGATCACTGCTCGGCTGTGTGTTTAGGGTTTGATGAGTTGATTGGGTTCGAATGGTTTCAATTGAGTTCTTCTCCGATGCCCCCTATTGGGGCGTCCTGCTTTCCCTTTTATAGGCCAAGGGAAAGCACGTGTTACAACGAAAGAAGAGAAGAGAATCAAGGGGGAGAAAAAGTCCTCTAGGGTCGCTGAGTGCTTCTTCTCCTTCATGCGGGTCCCACCGACCCTGTAGACGTCAGCAGGGATAGCTCCGCGTCGCGGCCCTATCCATCACTGGCGCCATGTGCAGACGTCGTCTGCCAGTCATGGCACTCCACTCCGTC